CATCTGGAAAACAAGACTTATGAGAAAAGGTTGAAATAATTGTCTACAGAAGATTGAGGAAAGACGTAACAACAGTCTGCAAATAATATTTGAGGCTGCTGTAAAGAAGACAGGATCCTCTTGTTCCCTTAGGAAAGAACAAGAATTAATGGGATGAAAGCACAGCAAGGTTAGATTATGCATTAAAGAAAAAACCTCTGTGAGGGGAGATACTGGAACAGAAATTTGATAGTGAGATTGGAGAACTCACACTAAAAACCTTTGAGAATATGCTAAGTAAGCTTCTTGGTGACCTGTTATGGCTCATCCTGTCTTGGTAAGCAGAAAGATGGAGTATCTCTTGTAGTCCCCTTTCCAGGCGTATTTTTTATGACTCTCTGTGTGCTTGCTTGAGATGAATTGTATTGTGCAGTTGTTCACTGTTTCATTCTTTAATATATGAAAGGAATACACTTGCTCATGTTGTTTTCTGTGTCTACAAATATTTGTTTACTATGATTAGATGTTTTCACTTGGCTTAGAGAAATAAGCACTCATGCTCATTTATTTTGTGTGTGCTCTTCGATAAGCTTTTGGCTTTTGCTGCAGAGCAAAGGACGTCAGCATTCAAACATTCCCTAAAAGCTTTTCCTATTTTACTGGATACATCTAAATTCCACACCGTCATGTTGAATACTGTCAGTCACTCTTGACTCAGCCAAAATGTTTTTAAAGCAGCCGGGGAATACGTGGGGGCGTTGCTGCTGAGCCGCTGATTTTTAAATTGCAAACAGTTCTGCATGGTTTCTCACGCACCGTCTCGTGTGTCCATATGACAACTTGGACTGCAACTGTTTTGATATTGCATTACTTTGTGTGACTTGAACTTTTCCATAACTACACTGTTTGGAAGTTTAGATTGGATCAGAGTAAAGGTCATTTGTTTTTGATTATATCGTATGGGTTTTTCTACTTAATATAAAAGGAAGTCGAGGTATCATTCTTAAATATTCTGTACCGTGAGATTCATAGCAGGAAAACCTGAAACCATTGTTGACCTTACAAGCTTTGTTAATCAGTTTACATCCAGTGTTCCATAACAAATCCTGGTGATCCTACCGGTCTTCTGGAAAGGCAGCATAATTCTAGCCTACACTGAAGTCCCTGTAAATGTTCCCATCACCCCAGACAAAGTTTGTTTTTGCATGATGATCTCTTCAGTTGCTTGAGGTTTCCTTTCTTTCCTCCCTCTCATGACATATCATCCAAATATTCTTAATCTCCAGAGGAACTGCAAAATACATTCCCATGAAGATGTTAAATCTCTAAAAGCAGTACACAAGAAAAAAAGTACTAAAACCACCATAAAACTAGCTTTGCTTCTCACTGAATTACTTGAGTAAACTCTTTTGTCACAGCCATAGTAAAGGGTGGGGGGGATGGAAAGAATGAAAAACAAAAAAAAAGAGTGAGCGAGCTGTGATAAGGTAGCTTTAATGATTTTGGGAGACTTATTTGCTGTATAACTTATATCTATCTCAAGCCCCACCCGTTCTCTCAATGAGGCTTTTTTTTTCCTCGAAATGATGGTACCCGACATTACTGTTATACAGGAGAGGTCATTCCAGAATGCTTCAATTCTGTATTTCTTTAGCACACCATAAAGGAAAAAAACAAACAAACAAACAAACAAAACCCCAGGCTTTTGGTCTACTGCAGAGATACAGTAAAAGGCTTTTATTTGAAAATACTTCATCATACCAGTTTTGTTAAACTGATGCCATTCATTTCATTAGTTGAATGGAAGCAGAGAGCTGTAATAGGGGTTGTAGGCCAAGGGGCTCCTGTACCATTCATTGGCTGTAACACAGTCACTGGACTCTGAACATCCTACGTATGTAAGGTATTACAGGTCTGAGCTGTGATCTTGAAGGGCATGTTTTGGCAGAAGTTGTTATTTTGTGTTTATATCTTTTAGATAACTGAGTAAGCTAAGTAACAGATTTATGTCCAAGTGAGTGATGTCTCTCGCAGTGGTTATAACCAGACCTTTGGATGCATTGCATATCGACTGAATAAATGCCATCGTGTAATGGGACCTTAGCTGTGTGTGACAAAGGTGGCTGCCACTTAGAGACGTACTGTTTTAAACACAGAAATGCAGGCTGTGCACGGGGTGAGGTTTATGCACGTGTGTGTGTGGGATCGCTTTCTTATGTAGGTTAAACCAGCCCCTATTGTTTGCTGATGTACATTTTCCCATGCATGGTGGACATTGGCTGTTTGTAATTTTGCTGGAGTAATTTTTAGACTATCCCCTTCTGTGTTTTTATATTCCAAAAGAGTTTGTGAAAACGGCAAGGAACATTTTGTTTCTGTATGCAGACATTCAGCCTTGTCAATTGGTTTTTCAGAATCCTTAATGTACTCTTCAGTGAGTAAGCGTCGCCTCCCACTGAAACTTTGCTTTTTAATATTATCAGGAGAAATGACTGTGGTGTTTATTATAGCAGGTTTTGTCTTCTATACTGAGTTGGTTTTGTGTTGTGGGGTTTTTTTTTGTTGTTGCTTGGTTGGTTTGATTTTTTTTTTAATTAATTTCAATTGCAAAGTGTTCCCTTTATGAGCAGCTGGCTTATTTAGACACATGCAGGAAAGGAGCTTCAGCATCTAACCGATTGCAGGGGTTACCTTGTCAGAGAGGCTCCAGTATCACAAGATCTTGAGCAAAAGCAGGGAAAGCAAATTTCTACTTCGTATTTTGCAGGTTAACAAGGGAGAACAGGTCTACCACCTTAGAAGACAGTCTTAAATGATACTCAGAAATCTTAAAAACCTTGTAAAACTGCTTAAAATCATCTTACGAGTAAATTTGAGCTATAAATACTAAAATATCAGTTACATGTTCAAATGGATCCTCTAGCAACAACAGTAAGAGACTTGACTGGTGTGCAGTCATTGCATTATGTGGAAGCTGGCCCACAGCCCAACCCAACAATGTTAAACACCATATTTCTTCCAGTAAAGTAATTTCTGATTGCAGTATCTGTTTTCAGCTCAAGTAGCTTTATGTGGGAGAATTGGACTAGCTCAGAAAGGGCTGTTTTCATAGTGTAATAGTGTCTTGATGCAGTTGGACATCAGAAATCAAATATTAATTTTGAACATAATGCGTCATATTTACAGCAGTAATTTTGACCTTTACAGCAGTAGTTTTGACTTGGAATATTGTAGCCCAAGATTCTAAATGCAGAAAAGAAAGGAATTTGGTTTTGGGTTGTTTTTTTAGATCTCAAAATGCTAAAATTCTTTTAAATCAGGATTTACATTGGACTTCTGTCCACAGATAAGCAAAAGTTTTAATGTTCCTAATTTTCCGTCTCTGTTTCTCTTTCTTACTGTCAAGAAATTTATTTCTGTGACCCTAATTGCATGAATTTATTTAATACTTAATGTCTATTTTAAATACCAGTGCTAAACAAAAGACAAGTTATAAGGTTAATGAATGAAGGTTCTGGGAAAATCTTGCTCTTTGAAATCAGCAATTGACACAGGTTTGTAATTCCTGGAGAACTAGAGCACAAAACTACACAACAACAATGTAACAGCCATACTGCACATAACTGTCCCACTGTGATCTCACATCTTGCATAGTAGAAAAAAATGTGGAAGGAAATAATAAGGTGACTGTTGTGGACCTTCATCGTTCCTAGTACTACCTGTCTGAAATAGGATAATACATTAAACAAAAGCCTTAATGGCCAGGGCTGCACTGAGGTGAACAACACCCATAGGAGGTCTGATTTCAAAGTTACCTTCAATGTAAAACAGAAAAAATGTACAGACATAAGAAAGGGAAGGCTACCTGAACATTTCTGGTGACTAGAAGTTCCAGCTGCAGTCCAGAATTTCACATCAACTTGACTTTCTTTCTGTGATAACAGAAATGGCATTTTCATAGGAGAACATTAGGAGAACTCCTATGAGAGCTCCTCTGTCTCATTCATGAATGAATCAGCAAGCACAGTGGGTTCAGACGCAGCCCATGTTTGAGGTTTTAGCAAGAAACAGAGATCCTCAAATTTGTGTCTGAATACGAGCTTCCCAAGAACATTTAGTTTACTCAAGTTCATTTTGAATTAAGGGTTAGCCCACTGTGTACGTTTCCTTGGAATATAGTTCTCTAATCTGTTTACATGCCTCTGTACCCACAGTTGGGATGAGTAAATCACTGCAGTAGTTTTGTCTGTGCAAGAATGCAGCGTATCAGGCCTTTCTGAAACTATCAAATGATAGAATTGTTAGCAGAAGCCCGGCTAATCTGTTTTCTTCTGCAATAATATGCCATAGCCACAAACTATGCTAGTGATAAGAAAAAAAGGGAAGACATGCTGTCAGATTCTGCACCTCATTTACTCTATGGTGAAAATGGAGTAACCCTACAGAAAACAAGACAAGATAGTTAGGTTTATTCTCTTGCAACTTGGGTCAGAAACATCCCTTTAGAATGGTGTATATTTAATGATAGCATCCTATGTTGTTTGTTTTTTTGTTTGTTTTGTTTTGGATTGTGGACTTGTAGGGTTTTTTTCTTAAATTCACTTTTTGCCTAGTAGGGAGTTGATATTTATATCACATCCTCTTTGAGAACAACTTTTAAATATTTCAGTACCAGGAGAGAACTTGTTTTCAGATTCACTTTCAGGCTGAGGTCTCATGAAATTAAAGCAATGAGAGTGTGAAAACAAAAGCAAAGAGCCAGAAGAAAACATGCAAGCTCCAAACTTGTTCCGTTATTGGCTTTCTCACTAGGAAGCTCTTTCTGAGAGCTGTCTCTGCCCCAGTTAGTCAGTGACACCAAGCAGAGCAATAGAACTGTCCACACGGAGGAAGGGAGAGGTGAAATAATATGGAAGGTATTCATGGAAAAACAGATGTGACTGATGAGTTACAAGTATTAACTGTAATGCGTGATTCGCCATTTTCAGTGAAATTTCTCATGTAATTGTTCTCTTTTTAAGGGACCGAGCTCCTTTCATCTTCACATCAGAGATGGAGTATTTCATCACGGAAGGTGGAAAAAACCCACAGCGTTTTCAAGAGTTTGTGGAGCTTTGTTGTCGAGCTTATAATATAGTCAGGAAACACAGCCAGTTACTCTTGAACCTGCTGGAGATGGTAAGAAACCTGAGGATGAAACCAAAGATCAGTTTCCTCTGGTGTTTTCTTCTCTTTTACCGCTTTCTGCTGCTGCCAGTAGCACTGTGATTTGAAGAGGTATCAGCTGCACTGCAGGAAATGTTAGTGCTGGCACTTCCTGTGCAAAAACCCTATCCTGTTTCTGTACTAATTTTTGAGAAAAGAAAACCTAAGCTCCCTGATCTTTTTCCTTTTTTCAATGCATTCTTTTCTACAGAATCGAGGAAAATCGCAATAGAAGCTGGATATAAGTTTTGCATTCAGGAATTTCACTCAGCCCTTTTTTCTAGGTCTTCTAACAATCCTTTACCAATCCCGTTCATGGTTACAGCAAGACAAAATAGACTAAATATTTCACAGAGTGGGTGATGTGACAGCACCTATCAGCACTACAGCTAACACTGGCGCTATTTAGAATGATTTTTGCACATTTCCACTCTCCTTTCTTAGGATGGCAAATACAGGAAAGAAAGAGCACTACCCATATTAACATGGGTTAAAAAAGCCTTTTGTATAGGATTTTAAGACCTCTCAGAGTTTTTATCCCTTCAGTGTTCCTACTGACTCATGTGATGTGGCAGATTGCGTAATTGCTTTGTGCCTCTATTTACTTCTGTGTGAAAGGTTAATGACTTCCCCCTGAATGGGTAGAATGTGAATATTAAATTAACTAATATTTGCTATGTTGCTTGGCTAAGATATTAATCTAAAACTTATGTCCAGGGTCCCATGCAAAACCTAGGAACTGGTCTGTGTGAAAATATCTACAGAACCTTATGAACAGAACCCCTGCTGAGGTTGGGGTACAGCCAAGAAGTTGCTCTTCAAACACTTCTCTATCTTCTCCAACTTCTGCAGTGGGGAGGGGAGAAATGGCAAGAATTTGCTCATCTTGTTTCTCTATTGTCCATGTAATCTCATGCCATGGTACGGTGAGTGATTTCCCAATATGGAGCAAGAAGGATTGCCCCAGATCTCTCAACCCTGCTTCTAAGTACTCACGAAGGTGCAGCAAAACTGCATTCCCATTGTAGTGGTAGGAGATACTGTCTAAGTTAAAGAGCCTCTGGAAAACTCAGGAGCACCCGTGCTCCCTCACTGACAGCAGTAATCTCTGCATTTCTGAACAGGTTGCCTAAAACCACATGCTGCAAATACAACTACATCTTCTTGTCCTCCTTGTCCACCTCCTTGTCCCAAGTGCAGTCCCTTTTTCTGCTCTCAGCAGAGATAATGATGTTGGATTACTTTGGGATAACAGAGAGAGCACATTAGGAAAATGTTCCTGGCAGGAGCTCGGAAATAACTAGCTGTCTCTGCCCAGGTATAGCCCAGGTTTGCCTGTTTTCAGGACATGCTGCATCTTCTTTTGTTTCTCTGATCTTTAAGTAGGGGTAGTAGTGGTGAGCTAAAAGTTAGCATACAGGTACTGTCGTGGTTTAATCCTAGCCTGCAACTAAGTACCATGCAGCCACTCACTCGCCTCCCCTCCTTCAGTGGAGGAGGAGAATCGGAAGAAAAGACACAATCGTGAATTGTGATAAAGACAATTTATTAATTGAAAGTAAATGAAATAAAATAATGATACCAATAATGCTAACAATGTTAATGATACATAATGGAAATAATGGAAAAGAAAAAAAATGATAAACCGCTCACCTCTCACTGACCGACTCAGAGCCAGAAACAGAGCCTCCCCCCTAGCCAAACCCCCAATTTATATGCTGAGCATGAAGTTTCATGGCATGAAATATCCCTTTGGTCAGCTTGGATTCGGTGTCCTGCCTTTGTCCCTTACCAGCGTCTTGTAGAGGAGAATCTGGGAACACTGGTGCAGTATCAGAAGCTGAAAAAAGTTCTTGAGTTGACTTAAACATTCCTTAGCAACAACTAAAACCACCAGTGTGCTATCAGTATTTTTCTCGGCACAGCCAGAACATAGCCTCCTACTAGCTACTGTGAAAACTACCCCAATTAAACCCAGCACAGATATGTCCTACCATTTGTCAGTGGGCTGCAGTTCAGTCACTTGTCTTGCATTTCATAACTGAAAAATAACTGGCAGCATACTCGCATCCCATCGATGTGCACTTCGTATCAAAAGGAAAGTAAACAAGTTTGCGAATGCCTTGGGTTTTGCCAGTGATGTTTGGAAGGGTGAGTCTGCTTCTGCACTTCAAATGGGGTGTTGGTCAGAACCTGTAAGTATCAAAATGTTTTCGTTTCATTGGTCATTTCTAGAAACGTAAATAGACCGTGAAGAAATTCCACTTTTAATTCATTTCCATGCAAAATATCAGATGTTGTCATGAAGGAGCAAGATAAACTAACCACTGCCTAATTGTATTAGTGCCAGTGTAAGATTTCTCTCACTATCTGGAAACCTGCATCATTAATCTTTTCTTCCCCTCCCACAGTCTGTTTTCTGAGATGCTATTTATAAAACATGGTTAAAAAAACCTAAACAGTAAGGCTATTTAAATAAAGTACAGTACTTTGCAAGAGTAGTAAACTCTTCTGGATGGTCAGTAATTTAGAGGTTTCTAGCAAACTGTGATCCTGAACAACAGTGTGGGTTTTTTGACCCAGTTTGGGACTTGATGCTTTTTCTTGGTGATGAGCAGTGTGTTGCTAAAGCTGAACTGACATTTGCTACTCGGAGTAAGAAGTAATCCGTGAAGTTTCCATCGTTTTCAAAACCCGAAACAGCTGTGAGAGACCAAGGAATATGCTGGTAGAGTTCAGCTGAGTAAATGCTTGTAGTTCATCAGCTTTGCTCTCATTAAAGATTTGATGTGAACTGTTATAAAGAGGATGGTCGCAGGACACAAGCACCTTTTGATTATTTTTTTTTTAAAGGCAAAATCCATTGCTGTTATAAAGATTTTTTCAAGTAGGACATTAAAATTAAATTAAAAGGGGCTTGCAGCTGACACTAGACAGCAAGAAATTGATCCACTTGCCTCTGTTGTGACAAGAGACAGGCAGAGACAGTACCTAGACAGAGCAGATCTACGACTCAAGAATCACATGTCTCCATACAGATCATTTCACCCTTTTACAACTCAGAAACACCGTTTGGGAAAAGAGGATAAGGAGACACATCCATTTTGGAGGTCTAAGGGGTGGGAAGTACATGCCAGGACTATTCAATTTTTGTGGGAAGTTGGACTGAGGGTCCCACACCAGGTCTGAATCTAGGCCCAAGGAGAGCACAAGCAGCTCCAATCAGTGAGTCAGAAGGTCTGGGATAACCAAGTGTGCTAGGTCAAGACATATGTGTGGCCAACTGAGGGGAGCAATGAAGGCACTTAAACTTAGGCATCTAGTGACATTTGAGTTGCCCTCGGCAACCTGTAGTTGTTTTCTGAACAGTTGTTCTATGTCTTGTTTAATTAGCATCAGGTATCACTAGCCCCAGGTTTCAGAAGCCTCCTCCATCAGGGGGCTGGAAACAAAAAGATTGCTGTATGGAGCAAAAGGGATGAAGGGATAATAAGCCTCTAAGACCCCCCTTATAGCCAGCAAAGCATTGTGTAGGTGCTGCCCAGCTAAAGACATTGTTTTGCTTCAGCAAATGGTTTTCCACCTTCTGCAACACAGAGAACCTAAAAAAATATCCTGGTTTTCAGTTACACTACAGATCATTCAGATTATTTTAATATCTGGCATTGTTGCCTTTTCTAATGCAGGGCAAGAAGCTTAATTTGCCTATGCATCAACTCTTTTTTTAAAGGGGACAGGAGTTGTTATTGTCCTTTATAAATGGGTTGAAAGCATACAGATAAATATCACTGTCTGTCTTTAAGTCCTGAATGTTGTTATTGTCCCTGCTCTCAACTCACTTAAATTCACCTCATTGAACTTCCTCATTTTTTCTGCTCCTTGCCAGGCAGAACTCTGTGAGACAGCAATCTAACTGTCCAGTGGTAGTATGGATTGGTCAGAAATGAAGTAAGATCTCCTCATAATGCCAAAAAGAAAGTGTAAAAGGCATTGAAACTTGACTCAAAAATACGGAGAAGGTTTGAAGAAATAGGAAAAATACCCTTCCATCTCTTTTCCCCTATTCATCTCTCACCCAAACCTTAAAATAAAAGCAGTGTTTCCTTTCTTCTTTGCTGTTACCTGCAAAACTCAGTGGGTCTTTCTGTCTGAGCTACACATAAATATCAATGAAGCATTCACAACAGTGACTGCGCATTCAGATGCATTTCCTTCCAAGCAATGTGAAGGAGTGATTTTTTTTTCTCCATTACACACAAAACATCACTCTCATATTACTGTAATTGTTGAGAAAAAATCAGTAGGTTTTGAAGTGAGTCAAAATTATTTTTGTTGTCAACATTTTAGGAGGCCTGGAGAGAGCTGTTTGGGCAATTGGACACAGTTGTCTACCCTACTCATTGTGTTACTTTGCAAGGGGAATGTTTTGAACCTAACTCTGCCAAATAACTAGAACAGATCCATCCCACATCCGTGAAGAACGGTACACTTCTCCAGAGGGCAGCTCTCTGCACCCAAGCCAGGCCTCCTGCTCTGAACAGAAAACTCAAAGGACCTTCCTCCTCCATTGTCTGCAAAGGGAGTGAGTCTATGATCCCTTCGCAGGAGGAGTCCAGAGCAGTGATGGTGGAATCAGTAGTTGCAAGTGAGAAGGTGATGTTGCGCTAAATTGGATTAAGACTAGGATAACACTGTAAGCATAACAGAAACATGGTTAACTATCACTATTCTGGTGGCTGAATTTGGTTACCTTCCCTTTATCACCATTAGAAGGCTGTGAAGGAAGTTTAGGAATGCAGGTATTGAGGTTATGATATCTGAAGAGGAAATAACTAAAATGGATCAATGAATTTGACCCATGCGTCCTTCCAGCACCTCAGTGTGAAGGTTTACAATGCAATATATTCACTTTAATATTTTGATGCTCTAGCATCAGCAAAAGGACTTTGTTTTACAAGAAGTCCTTTTAGTGTAAAACCATTCTTTTCCCAGTTATCCACATTTCCTTTCTATTTCTTTTAAATAATTAGCAGACTAATGATATTTCTTTACTTTAAGATGCTGCATGCAGGATTGCCTGAGCTACACAGCATTCAGGATCTGAAGTATGTGTATGATACACTCCGTCCTCAAGACTCAGACCTCCAGGCTACAAGCTACTTTACAAGGTAAAACCATACTATAATCCTTAAACCTTGTTTCCTTCATCATGAAGCAAAGCTGTCAAATTAAAAAAAAAAAAAAAAGGCAGTTTTTCTGTTTTGTTAAGAGTTTGTAATCAGTAAAATTGCACAAAAGTATAATTGGTTTTCACATGTTTATTTTTTTAAAAGTCCATTCCTTATGCATGTTATAACCAATCTCCTCAGATTTCTGGCAGAAACAGTTGTGCATTTGTGGTACACTTGTAACAAGTCACTTATTCAGTGCCTAGAGATTACTTCAGCTTTCATGGTGAAGCCATCCTGGCCTATTTCTAGTCAGCTTTTCTTTCTGCTAAATGCAGAAACTACAGACAACAGTATTTAGATTGCATAAAACATTCAGTGTTAATGGACTGAATCAGGACCTAGAATTCCTGCATTTTATTCCCTTTTCTGTTCTTTTGACCTTCTGTGTTGCTCCAGGCCAGTTACTTTGCCTCTGTTAGCCATGGTTTCTCCATCTGCAAAATGGTACTGATTCTTCCTTTTAAGCACTTAGCAGATCCATCACAGAAAGGCATTGTGTGTGAATATATGTATTTCTAAAGCTTGATTTGTGTTAGGATAATGAAACCTTTCACTTGTGTGTGATAATAACTGAGGATTATTGATGAGGAGCTGCCAGTGACCTATATAAAATCAGTGTGAAGCACTCAGTCCTGATCTCTTGTGTCAGGCCTCTGCATTACACATAATTCCAGCTGTTATGTGATGATGGTCTAGATGGAGACTGACTGGATTTGGAAACTCAGTTTTCCATTCTAGGCACAGTATGAGAAAATCTGTCCCTGTCGTACTGTGTCCTGTGCAGCACTATCGTTACCCAAGAATGGTATCCAACCGTATCCTGGGCTGTATCCAGAGAAGTGTGGCCAGCAGGTCGAGGGAGGGGATTCTGCCCCTGTACTCTGCTCTTGTGAGACCCCACCTGGAGTGCTGCGTCCCGCTGTGGAGCCCCCAACATCAGAAGGACCTGGGCCTGTTAGAGCAAGTCCAGATACTCCAAGGGGTGGAGCACCTCTCCTACGAAAAAAAGCTGAGAGAATTGGGCTTGTTCAGCCCGGAGAAAAGAAGGCTCCGGGGAGACCTTATAGCACCTTCCAGTAGCTGAAGGGGCTACAAGGAAGCTGGGGGGGACTTTTTACAAGGACCCGTAGTGACAGGACAAGGGGTGACGGGTTTAAATTGAAAGTGGGGAGGTTTAGATTGGATATCAGGAAGAAGTTCTTCCCGGAGAGGGTGGTGAGGCACTGGGACAGGTTGCCCAGAGAAGCTGTGGATGCCCCATCCCTGGAAGTGTCCAAGGCCAGGTTGGATGAGGCTTGGAGCAACCTGGTCTAGTGGAAGGTGTCCCTGCCTGTGGCAGGCAGGTTGGAACTGGATGATCTTTAAGCTCCTTTCCAATGCAAACCATTCTATGATCTCTGGCAGTCTATGAATTTACACACCCTGGACACCACATACACATGCAAAGCAAACCAGACTCTTCTGACCTCTTTCTCTTGCCTAAGCTCATGGCATATATCCAGGTCACACCACTAGACTCTGGGTGAAGGTCTCCTTTCAAACTCACAGCCCTAAAGGACACTCCCATAAGGCAGCAAGGTTCTTCACACCATGCAAACTGCCTAGAGGCAAGAGCAATCACCCTACCCTCCCGTATAGCCAGAGGGCAAGTTGCAATGACTAAATGAGATGAAAGCTTGAACTGGAGAGCTGAGCTACCCTCATTACTACTACAGAGGCCCGTATGTGGATTTGGGGTAATTTGAATAGTTTGTACTTCTCCTTTTCATGAATTAGAATTGGAAGCTGAGGCTGCAAGTTCAGAGAAGGCTGGAACAGTGAACTAGAAGAGTTTAAGGAAGACTTTTCTTTGAAGAGAAAAAGGGAAATCTCTCAAACAATACTATTGTTCCATTATTTTGCACAGCAGGCACAGAGTTCCTTCTCCTTTAATGCTTGTTTTTTTCATATGCTTTCCCCTTGCTCATTAACAAAATTGATTTATTTTAAAATTTAATTGCAGCTTTACTTTTACCATCTACTTCTACCTTATCCTTTCCTGTAGAATTTCACATATTCCCAAATTGCACTTATACTTCTACTTCAAATAGAAAACACTCAGTTTCTAATTAAAATATAAAATTCTTGATTCTGTCAAAGAGTTTGGATGGTTATGTCGGTCCCTCATGGGTAAAAACCTCAATTCACTTAATTAGTGAAAAAAGGCTAGGCTGTATATACCAAATAAGGAAATGTAAGTCTTCGGAGTGAAAATTTCGTTAGTGT